AAACAACCCTTTAAAAATGTAAAGATCATTTTTGACTAACTGGCCATACAAAAACAGGCTGTGACATGGATTTGGCTGATGCCTGGACTAGAGGAATGTTGTGCGATTGCTCAGTACCATTAGGAAACCACTTCAGATTTATGACGTTAAAGTGACACTGAGCAGTGTGATCATATGTGTTTTCTCCCCAGCCACATTCAGCTGCTTAGGGCCAGACATACAGTTGAATTTTGCTTGGCAAGTACTGACATAGTGAGAATGTCAGAGGAGTTACGGGTGAATGCAAGAAAATGGTTAGAATAACTGATGATGGAATTTCAATAGGGTGGGGATGGTGCCGAGGACATGAAGCAGAGAGGATCAATGAATTGTAGGTCTAGGGTAGTTTCTGTCACCAATCCATAGATTTATTTATCTTCTCCTGTTGTTGCAGTGTAAAATGGAATACAGAAGAAAGAGCAAGATCTTTATTTCTATTCAAATAAGAAATAGTTTTGAATGTTTAATATGTGAAAACTCAAGTGTTAGTTCATAGGGATGATTAAAGCAAAAGGAATATATTATCTTGTTTACAAATTAGCTTATAATTTAATGATCGATCTCTCTACTATTACTGATCTCCCTCTGCATGGTTCTAATTCTTCTTGGCACTCAATACAAAGAGTCAAGATGAATTTTTCTTAGATTATGGGTTGAGCCAACCAGATTGTGGGTTGAGCAAACAGGTATTCCTGGGCAAACTCTCACTCCTCTTCCTGTCCATTTACCAGTTAAAAGGAGGAACAGGTGGATACAGAAAAATTGATCACAAATTCAGAAATTATAATTTATATAATGGAAATCAATGTTAAATATAATCTTTTTTCCTCTTAGCATTTTTAATGTTCATTCATCCCATTAAACTGTGTACTTTTATTAAAACTATTTTATTGGACTGTTTTTCCTTATAGAGAATGTTTCTACTTTTAAGGGTTATATTGGTATTTTGAGGGGAAGTTTAATTAGCCTTCATTGTACTTATAGAAGACAACATGAATTAAAAGTAGGAAAAAGATAAAAGAATCTTTTCAACTAATTAAGGAATGGTTCATCTGACCAAATCACAGCAATGTGGACATCCGGGAACTGTAGTAAAAGGGTATAAAAGAAATGAAAATCAGTGTTTTCAACTTGATACGTTTAGTGCCTTGAGACTTTTGAAATATAATTCAATTTAATTTTTTTCAATTTGTATTATTTTGCAGTATTTCGCCCCATATCTGCTAAGGCCAAACTACAGATGAATCGCCGATCAGATTTTGATTTTTCTACCCCCAAAATAAACTTGGAAGTTGAATTACATAACATAGCAATTGAATTTAATAAACCACAGGTGATTTTCTTTAATGACATTTTCAACTGACAGCTATTATTTGATAAAAGCAAAACTGAGATTTTAAATATATTTCTGAAATTCATGTTATACAGTAACATTTCTTTTAAAAGTCAGTAATTTAACTTTATCTTCAATAATTGAACAAAAAATGTAAAACATTAAAGTGTTTAATTTTTCCATTCTTATTTAGTATTTTAGTGTTATGGAGCTTCTTGAGTCAATTGATATGATGACACAAAATTTGCCATACAGGAAATTCAAACCTGATGTACCTCTTCAGTACCATGCCAGGGAATGGTAAATGCCTTAAATTTTTTTTCTTTTTTTGAAGATTTAAAAAAATGTAGCACAAAAGTAAATTTTTTTATTTTAAGAAAAAATGTTAAGATATTCTTTTTAAAGTGTGATACAAACTATAATTGATTTGTGGCTGGAAATGTATGTAGCTGCTTTAGCTTATTAAGTTAATGAAATTGAGTTAAGGGATACTTCCTAACACAGTTTACAACTAGAGATACTAGAATACCATAGTTTTCATTTACTGTAGGGGGATCAGCATTTTTGGAATTACTAAAAAACTATATCCTGGTTTGTTTTCTAGCAGCGTCTTTTTTTCTTTCACCAAACTTCCTTATCAAATACAGTAAACCTGTATTACTAAGCCTTTATTTCACAACCTGAAAAAGTTACAGAGTCTATGCAGTATAATCAGATTTTAAAATTCAGAAGTCTTGTTATTCCAGTTTTTAAGCTATTCCCTAGTTTCTAGAAGTTACAATTACTCTTTAAGTTGACTATGTCAGTTATCATTCAAGTGGGTAAAATGTTATTTGCCAATTAATGCCTTACTAGTTCTTGTGTAGCATTATATTTTTTTTTTTTTAAATTGAATGATTTTATTTATTTTTTCTTAGGAAAGAGGTAAGATTAATAATTAATGGATTGTTAATACAGACATGGTTGGGTGAAAAGGAAAGTGCTGAGATAATATACCATTTTCATAGTCTCTGTTGATACAGTTATGCGTATTGTTACACTAGAAGCAATACCAGTTGTTTCGTACTGTTGATTTGCGGATATTAAGTGTCAGGTTTTTCTTTTTGTTTTTTAACTAGGTGGGCTTATGCTATACATGGTATTCTTGAAGTAAATGTTTGCCCCACCTTACGGATGTGGTCATGGAAGCATATTCATGAACATAGGCAAAAAGTGAAGAAATATAAAGAACTGTATAAAAAAAAATTAACAAGTAAGAAGCCATCTGGTGACATTCTCATGTCTTTGGAGGTTAGCATTTTAAAAAAATTGTTGAATGTTTTGTACTATATAACTCCTTCTCAGTCTTTAGAGATTAATATTTCCTACTTATTTATTCTAATTTTTATTGACCATCTCTGTTTGTTTTACTTAGACTTTTTTGTACTTCTGTTCTTAATTTCACTCGGGTACTGTTCTTAATTTCACTCAGGTAATACTAGATCTGGTAAAATTCTCCTGTGAGCTTTTGAAATTTGAGGTTATTCTCAATCTGAGGGAATTTAGGTTCATCCATATAGTAATTTGAAGGCTCTATTTATTATGGCATTTTTAACCTTAAAAGCCTAAAAATTCTTTGCTCCATTGATTCCGAACTTCTCTGTGTCGGTACCAAAGCCTTGTGTCACCACTCCGTTTCCCCTATGTTACCATCTAACTGTGTGCTAATTAAATTTTTCTTGTCTTCTGTATGTATAATGCACATTCTTATAGCCGTGGATATGCTCATATATGCCATCTGTCTTTCCTCATCTCTTTTCTTATCCCAATTCTATTCATCCCTAAAATTCTATATCTCTGGCATGAACTTCCCTGAATTCTCTGCTTATGCACAGCTCTTTTTCTCTTAATTCTTGTCATATCTCTAGTCTTTACCAGCAACTGTATGTTTATTTGGTTTGCGATATTATGTTTTAATTAGTATTATCTTTTAGCATTATGGTATATTTCAAAGGGACTCTTTTACAAATGGATGAAGTACAGCTTACAGAGTCTAAGAAGAGTTAGCCTCATGAAATGAATGAATCCAGAGTGGATTTCTAATTAATAACTCCCTAAAGATTGAGTTTTACTTTAATTTTCAAGATGGAAGACTTTCCAAAATCCTAGATATTCTGGAGACCTAGAGCTATTAGGAATGCTTGCATTTAGAGGCTTCTTGGGGGTGGTTTCAGATTTTTTTTACTTAGTTTTAAATGTTAACCCGAATCTTTCATGTATGCTGGACAGCAGAACCCTGGGTTAAGTTGATTTTCTGATAATAGTAGGTAGTGGTTGCTTCTCTTGGGGGAAATACGGTTTGAGCTTGAAATTCTCAAAAGTAATCATGGGTATGTATAGCTATGGTGAAAGATATAGCTTATTTCAGTTTATTTCAATAACCACAATTTTGAAAAGTATAAACATTAAAAACAAGTTTTAAGTATATCCAGGTCTACTTGGAATGCAGGCATATCTCCATTTTATTGCACCTTGCTTTATTGTACTTTGCAGATAATGTGGTTTTTACAAATTAAAGGTTTATGGCAACCCTGCCTTGAGCAAGTCCGTCGTTGGCATTTTACCAACAGAAATGTATTCAGTTGTATTCAGTGTATTCATTTCGTGTCTCTCTGTCACATTTTGGGAATTCTTACAATATTTCAGACTTTATTATTATTATTATTATTATTATTATATCAGTTATGGGGATCTGTGATCTTTGCTGTTACTATTATTATTGTTTTACTATTATTATTGTTTTGGGGTACCACAAACTGCATCCATATAAGACAGTGGACTTAGTAAATGTTGCATATGTTTTGACTGCTTCACCAACTGGCCATTTTTCTTGACTCTCTTCTTCTTGAGCCACCCTATTTCCTGAGACAGAATATTGAAATTAGATCAAAGAATCACAATATGAAAGCCTCTAAGTGTTCAAGTGAAAAGAAGAGTTACATATTTCTTTTAAATAAAAAGCTAGAAATGATTAAGCTTAATGAGGAAGGCATGCCAACAGTTAAGATAGGCCGAAAGCTAGGTCTCTTGTGCCAAACAGTTAGCTGAGTTGTGAATGCAAAGGAAAGTTCTTGAAGGAAATTAAAAGTACTTCCCCAGGGAACACATGAATGATAAGAAAGTGAAACATCCTTATTGCTAATATGGAGAAAGTGTTAGTGGTTTGACTAAAAGATCAAAGCAGCCATAGCATTCTCCTAAGCCAAAGCCTAATCCAGAGCAGGGCCCTAACTCTCTTCAATTCTATGAAGGCTGAGAGAGGTGAGGAAGCTGAAGAAGAAAAGTTGGAGGCTAGCAGAAGTTGGTTTATGAGGCTTAAGGAAAGAAGCCATCTCCATAACATACAGTGCAAGGTGAAGCAGCAAGTGCTCAGATAAAAGCTGCCAGTGTTACCCAGAAGATTTAGCTGAGGTCATTGATGAAAGTGACTACGTGAAACAACAGATTTTCAGTGTAGATGAAACAGCCTTCTTTGGAAGAAGATGTTATCTAAACTTTCATAGCTGGAGAGGAGAAATCGATGCCTGGCTTCAAAAGGTCAAAGGATAGGCTGACTCTTGTTAGAGGCTAATGCAAATGCTCATTTACCATTCTTAAAATCCTAGTCACCAGGGCCCTTAAGAATTATACTAAATCTACTCTGCCTGTGCTCTATAAATGGAACAACAAAGCCTGGGTGACAGTAAATATGTTTACAGCATGGTTTACTGAATATTTTAAGCTCACTGTTGAGACCTACTGCTCAGAAAAAAAGATTCCTTTCAAAATATTACTGCTTATTGAGAATGCGCCTAGTCACACAAGAGCTCTATTGGAGATGTGCAAGGAGATTAATGTTTTCATGCCTGCTAACACAACACTTATTCTATAGTCCATGGATCAAGGAGTAATTTCAACATTCAAGTCTTATGTAAGAAATACATTTTGTAATGTAATAGCTCCCTTACAAAATAATTAGTGATTCCTCTGGTAGATCTGGGCAAAGTAAATTGAAAACTATCTGGAAAGAATTTACCATTCTGGATGCCATTAAGAGCATTTGTGATTCATGGGACGAGGTTAAAATATCAGCATTAACAGGAGTTTGGAAGAAGTTGATTCCAACTCTCATGAGTGACTTTGAGAGGTTCAAGACTTCAGTGGAGGAAGTATCTGCAGATGTGGTGGAAATAACAGAACTAGAATTAGAAGTGGAGCTTGAAGATGTGACTTAATTGCTGCAACCTCATGGTAAAACTTGAACAGATGAGGAATTGCTAATATGGAAGAGCAAAAAAAAATGCTCTCTTGAAATGAAATCTGTTTCTGGTGAAGATACTATGAACATTATTAAAATGGCAACAAAGAGTTTAGAATATTACATAAATTTAGTTGATAAAGCAGCAGCAGGGTTTGAGAGGATTGACTCCAATTTGAAAGAAATTGTACTTTGGGTAAAATGCTATCAAACAGTATCATATGCTACAGAGAAATCTTTTGTGAAAGGAAGAGTCAATTGATGCGGCAAACTTCATTACTAAGAAATAGCCACAGCCACTCCAACATTCAGCAGCCACCAACGTGATCAATCAGCAGCCATCAACATTGAGGCAAGATGTTCCACCGGCAAAAAGATTACAAGTACTCTTTGAAGGTTCAGATGATTGTTAATATTTTTGAGCAATACAATACTTTTAAATTAAGGTATGTACATTGTTGTTTAGACATGCCATTGTACACTCAATAGACTGCACTATAGTTTAAACATAATTTTTTTATATGAACTGGGAAACCAAAAGAATTTTTCTGATTTGCTTTATTGTGGTGGTCTGGAACCTAACCCACGATATCTTCAAGGTATGCCTGTATCTTATTAATGACGTACAAACGGTACATATAATATGGAATTATATTTTTAGTTGAAAATGTCACTAATATATTTACTCTTAATTGTAGTTAAAACTCGAATATAAGTCGTTTTAAACAGTGCATGTATATATCTTTCCGTGTTTGTAACTCTGTAACTCTCACGTGCATGATGTGATTTCATTGTTCAAAAAGTTACTCTGATTTACTAATTTCCAAGCTGATATATATTCAAGCTTGCTGCCTGGAATTTAACCAGGTACATTATATTGATGGATATTCTGTTTTTTGTTTCCTATTGTATTTTTTATTTAGTGTAGCAATTTGATAAATTTATATACTTCTGTAAAGTTAATATATTTTCATTTGTATTTTCAGGAGTTGGAAAAAACACTGGATGTCTTTAATATAACTATAGCTAGACAGCAGGCAGAAGTTGAGGTAATTCTAGATTATTTTTCAATTAGTAAAAATCTGAATTCCATATAGCTATGGCAGACATTGTGATGTTATTAGTATTGTGCTATAACATATTGTTTTCTAAAAGGGTTCAATTTTGCTTTTTTGTGTTATAAGAAAATTGATTTAATATTAGCCACATCCATTTAAGTCGGACAGGTTTCTATGGGAAAAATTTTTTTTCTAAATAATTGAGCTTATCAAATATTCAGAGTTGATATGAAAGTGAAAAGCTATTTTTTTTTTTTTTCCCCAATCGTCTCTTGTAAATCAATGGGGAGAACTATATAGTATTCCTAAATTCTTGTGTTTGGCTAACATTCTAGTTACTATGTTCTGTTGTTAGTGTGTATATTGTTTATATTCATTTGCTTAAGTAGATAAGTTCTGGAAATACCATGCTTCTATTTCTTTCAGTTGCAAAATAAAAGATAATTTGTCATTTATTTGAAAATTTATTCATTTTAGGTAAAGAAAGCTGGACTCAGGATTTATAAAGAAGGGGTAAAAGATCCAGAGGATAATAAAGGATGGTTTGGTTGGCTGTGGTCTTGGTCAGAAAAAAATACTAAGGAACAACCAGATGTTAAACTTGGAAGTATGTCCATTTCATTTTACGTTATAGTCAACCATTGAGCATGAAAAAGTTTTGCAAAAAAAAAGTTCTCTAATTAAAGTAAATAGATATTGTAAGTAGTTATATAATATATAGTTTAAAATAATTAAAACATTTAAAAATATATATGTTAAATAAAAATTAAACAGAAAAAGTTTTTAATCTACTAATGCTTACAAAAGAGCTTTATGCCCAGAGGAGTCAGTAAATGCATAGATAAAAAAAAATAAAATAAAAATTCCAAAATGGTTTAAACCATTATAAATTTTTACTGAAATGTTTCCTGCAAAGATTTTTGTTTTTTTAACTAAATGTTTAAAATCATAGCCTTGGAGGCTTAGAGACTTAGGCGTGTGTCTTAGATCTGTTACTTATTTGCAGTGTATCTCTGACAAGTTATTTAAGCTTAGTAAACCTCAGTTTTATCATCTGTAATGTGGAAAAATTATGATACTAATACTATCTACTTTGTATGCTGAGTGTCTTGATTCACACAGTGCTATTAAGTGCCTAGTACAGTTAGCTATTTTTTGAGCTAATACAAAAATTTAGAAATTTATATTGTTAAATTTATATATTTAGCAGTTTAGATTTTTGGAGAATCACTTATAAAATTGCCAGTGCCATTCTAACATTCGTTGTTTATAATTTCTTGAAAGCATTAGAAAAAGAAAGTAAATTTTTGCATTTCATTTATTAAAGGCAGACAAATTATGTGTTAATTTTGTATTTTCATTTAAGAATACAAAGCACTTTTTTAATAATTTGTAGCTCTTGAAGAAATGTTGACACCTGAAGAAAAAGCTTTACTCTATGAAGCAATTGGCTATAGTGAAACAGCAGTTGATCCAACCTTGCCCAAAACAGTAAGATGGTTTTTGCCTTATACCTTGGAGTTTAATATTATATATGTCTATTTTTAATCCTCTCAAAAATATATGTTATTGACTTGTTCTGTGATCTGTTTCTGGATCTATAATTGCATTTATTATTTAATTTCCAAGGGAGGGATAAAAATTGTCCCTTGATTTTTTTTTTTTGATGTTTTTGTGCTGATTCTTCAGTAAAATGTGATTTTAAAGTATTTTGTGGTTTTTGAATAGACCATAAGAATAAGATTATTTTTGGTGTTTATGTATACATATATATATTTTTCATTTTATTCTTCTGAATATATTCTAGTTTGAAGCCATGAAGTTTTTTGTTCACTTGAAAAGTATGTCTATTGTTCTAAGAGAAGAGCATGAAAAACCTGAGCTGTTAGATATTGTAATAGAAGAATTTAGCACTTTGATGGTACAAAGACCAGGAGCACAAGCAATAAAGTGAGTATTAATTTATTTTTTTGATCATATAAGAAAAAAATTTCACTGTAAGGTTGGAAGTTAGGTTACAATCTTGCAATCTTTTTAAAGGGTATTATGGTTTAATGCGTCCTTTTGTGTTTTTAAGAACTTAGTTTTTCTTTTCAATAATATATATGTATTTTGGAATTAATAAAATAATGTTCAGTTGAAAACTGCAGGCCAGTGAAACATACAAGGACATTAAATAATAATATAAAAATGATCAGAAATTATACCACACCAAGGACGTTAGTACTTTGAGACAGGAGTCTGCCAGCCTCCTTATTTGCTGGCAAATTAATAAACTCCTCTTTCCTTCTCCTCAAACCACTTGTCCTCGTTCTTCTTATGTGCCCTCGGGGACAAGTGCCGAACTTTGGTAACAGAATTTGGCATCCCTGGTTGGGCCCACCAGTGCCCGGTGGAATGGCACCGTGCAACTGCTGGAAGAGGCAGGGAGCAGCCCTGGGTCAAAGCTGTGGGTCTTTTCAGGTAGGAGCAACTTCTTTTTGAGGTGATAGAGCAAGGGACAGCCCTAGCAGCTGCTGGAGCCTGTTTTAGCTGCGGGGCCCATCTCTGTCTCCCTGAAGTATATGCAGCTCCCTGAAACCTGAACTGAGTTGAGGAGAAGGAAGTGAATGTGGAAAGTGTCTGGATGCCAGGCCATTTGTGGGTAAGTTCCCAGGCGTGCATGCTGAGACCCTTGAGTCTACCCATTTGGGGAGGGTTTTGAACCCTCCAGCTGTGCAGCAGGGCATTCATTTAGGACCCTATCAGGGCATATATTTTGAGGCGCCTTTTGGGGGTGGAAGTCATGAGGTTGAGGGGGACCTAGGGAACCTGGTTTGAATTTGAAACTCTTTTGTGGTTCCTAGGGAACAGGGGGACTAGGCCACCATTTGAGATAGGTTTCTCAGGAATTGGAGGATAAGGCCACCCATTTGGGGTGGGTTTTGAACCGTCCAGCTCGGTAGGGGCATCTGTTGAAGGCCCAGGGAATGGGTGATTAGGCCACCCATTGGGGAAGGTTTTAACCCTTCCAGGCCTTTGGGGTGGTATTTGTCCTCTTTGGATTCCCATTTGTTTGATAGGCCCTGTGATTTTTATATCCCTAGTATTGACTGTTATTTGTGAGTTTTCTTGCAATATAAGGAAGCACCATCTCAAAGTGCCTTGGGAAAAACTTTGGCTAACTCTAGGTACCAACCTATGTATAAAGAGAATGGTATTATTATAAGCCAATGTACGGGCTGAAGTGTGAGGAGAAGTGGCCATTAAATGGAAATTCCCATTTCATTGATAGGCCTTGGCATTTTAAATTGTGTTATGAATTCTCTATATTGTTTGTGTTTGATTGTGAGATTTTTGTCTGAGTTTTTGTACCTATGTCTAAAGATTATTATTATACCACCACTTGTCGGGAGTGCGAGCAAAAGTGGTGGTTGGTATTGCTTGTGTGGAGTGTGAGAAAAAGTGGTTGTTGATGGTCTGTGGCTTATTCTGAGCTGTTGGTTCTTTTAAACTTCAGAGCTCAAATGGTTGACCTGCCACTATAGAGTTAAAATGTTGAGTCTCAAGCTATCTGTGTGAGATAAACTCATGGTTTATGGTATACAAAATGATCTGTGTTTGTATAATTTTTGATAAATGAGGTCCTCCTGTCCCTGCTGGAACCCCCACAGCCACCAGGGCGAGGCACCAGGCAGGGCCACAGCCGGGGGCAGACTGACAAGAGGGAGGACACGAGCACATGGCCCCCCGCTGAGTGGCGCACAGCAAAGGGGAAGGAACACCTGCTACCACTGCCATCTTGGCACCATGGAGGGGCTGAGGAGGCAGCTGCCTGAATTAACTCTTAAGTCCCACACCCAATAACTTATGACTCCGGGTTTCGAATGGTCTCTCCTGGCAGCAAACTCAGTTTGGCCAGAAGGAAGCCCTAGTCATAGCAGGGCAATTTATGGCAATATCGGATAGAGAGCTTGAATGTGCAAGAACAGACAGCAGGGTCCTTTGAGACAGTCAAAAGGAATGAGCGAAAAAGCTACCCCAGACTGATTTTTTATAAAGAAGAAGGACCTTGAAAAGCACACTGCCCCAAGTTGCAAAAGATTCTGGATCCAGGAAGCCTCCAGGAAAGCAAATCGTTTTTTTTGAAGTTCAGGACTCAGACAGCAAAGGAGGGGGACCCCTGCCTCCAAATATCCCCAGAGGAGCCCTAGGCAAAATTGACAGTGGGGACTTGATTGGCACTAGGAAAAGGATAACTAAATGTGTTTTATGATTGTACATGTTTATGGTGCCTTTTAGAAGGAAAGGGGTCTCTTGATGGCAGGAAATAAGGATATTAAGTATGCTACCAAAATAATGGCCCTAGTACAGGCTGTGGCTGAGTCCAGATGGTGGTCAGCATGACAAAAAAAATCAGGCCACTGGCTGAGCTGCTAAGGAGGCCACTGGAGGCAACCTATTCCTCAGGGCCTTGATACCCTGGATAGATTTAGACCCCCTTAAAAGCTAAAGACTGGGACTCTGACATTTGGGATGGCACAGCTAAATGGATACAGAAATCTCATAGACTCGTCTCCTACCCAAAGCTTTAGTTCAGCCTCTTATGAGGTACCTGCATGAATACACACATTGGGAGTGTAGTAATGCCTTGATATATTTGGTGGGACTTCATTTGGGAGAATCCTGTTTACAACTAACTGTTACTATGTTTGGGGTGGTCCAAAGACAGGCCACCCATTACACAGGGAGCCCACCAGGTGGGGGTCCACCCTTGTGATGATTGACAGTTTCACTCAGATGCCTAGGCTTGTATTGGTAGATACCTTTTCAGGCTGGGTAGAGGCTTGTCCTACCTGGAGGAAAGAAGGGAGCATGTGAGGTTACCATAATCCTTCTGGAGGAGCTCTCTCTGAGATGGGCTCCTACCAGGAGCTGAGAGAGCCCTTGGTGAGTTCCTGCATGTGTACAGAAACAGGCCTCAGAGGATGACAGGATGACGGTCATCAATGGTCCAGGGAAGGATGCTACGCAAATGGAGAATAACATGCTGGTAATGGAGGCCGTGGACAGACAGCTACAGAGACAGCTCGACAGCTCAAGATATCACTGTTTGACTACTCCGTGACAGTGTCCATCATGGGAAACTTTGCCTTCCTGCCTTCTACACTTGGATCTGTTACACAGTGTCCTGTGGTCACTTATAAACTTCTTGGAGTGGACACCCAGTGGGAACTTTGTGAACCGTTTCTCTAGAAAGCTGACACAGTGGACTCAGTGATCCCACAGGTCATCAATATTCATAGGCTCCTTTCTTCCTCCAGAACAATAATGGACCCTCCTTTGCAGCAAAGGTAACCCAGCAAATAAGGAAAGCCCTATATCTATAATGGAAATCACATGAAACCCACCTAAAGTGGGATAAGGTATTGCCACCTGTCCTCCTCTGGATAAGGGCAGTCCTTTAGAAGCATGCTTAAGTTAAGCCCCTAAAAATAGTTTATGAGAGACCCTTCCTAACACCAAGAGGTAAGTATGGTAATATAACCATGAGTAAAAGAAAATAGAATAAAACAGTACATCAAATGAGTGGGTTGGGTGCTAACCGCTATACATGAGTGCCTCTTTCAGGTCCCTGCCCCAGCTGGAAACAGAAAAGTGAAAGGGACCCTGTGAAGTGTTTCTAACAACTCATACCTTGAAATTGTCAGAAGTGAAAGCCTTGGGTCCATCATAGCAAAGTAAAGAGATGTAGCCCCTAACGGAGGGGCCATCCTTTAGGAGATCTAAAGTATCTGTTGGAGAAAAAGAAAAAAATGAAAATGATGATATTTTTTGCAAATCTTTCTTTGGCTATTTGTTCTGTCTATAGGATAGAGGGACGGCTCCTTAGTGAGGATTGCCCGGGCTATCACTTCTTCTGTTGATCTGCCTTGCTGCTGGGTGTTCAAACCTCATTTGGTGCAAGTATTTCTGTACATGATTTCTGAATTTGCAGAAGCTGGTCTCTCAGATCATCTACAGGATGCAACTAATAGCTTCACACTCAGAGGCCCCATGTTTCTTTCTTATCCATCCCTGTATTAGACATTATGCGCAAAGCGACAGGAAGGACCCACAGTCCTACTGGTGTCTTAGATACCAAGCGGGGTGAAATCTCTCTTATCAGGTATCCTCCATCTCGCCTTGTTAGTCCTCATGGTTGTAGTTGTTGCTTTTGCCCTTTTTCACCTGGTAATCTGTTATTGTAAATCTATTGCCATTATGGGCCTAGTTTTCTTGTTCTTGTGATGTTTTGTCTGGTTTTGGTATCAGGGTAATGGCTGGCCTTAAAGGATGAGTTAGGAGGTATTTTCTCTTCTATTTTTTTGAAGAATTTGAGAAGGATTGTTATGAATTCTTCTTTAAATATTTTGTAGAATTCACTAGTGAAGCCATTTGGTCCTAGACTCTTCTTTGTTGAAAAGTTTGGATTATTGATTTACTCCTTATTTATAGGTTTTACTGTGGACTTACAAGTTTTATAATACATAATCATCTCAATTGATGCAGAAATATGTTTAACAAAATCCAGAATCATTTTATGATTTTAAAAAAATTTAAAAATCCTCCAAAAAGTAAGAATACAGGGTCCTCCCTCAACATGAAAAACTTTCTTTTAGTAAGTTTTATAATACTGTAATAAAGTTGTATTGTAAATTGATAGTTTGTAGGTTTATAAGTAAGACCTATAAGTAATAGTAAGTTTTACTATCGGTTTTTAAGGTTATAGAAAGGTTTTACTTCTTATTAGTTATCTGATTTTCTATTTCTTTTTGAGGCAGTTTTTGTAATTTGTGTGTTTCTAGGAATTTGTCCATTTTATTTAGGTTATCTATTTTGTTGATGTACTATTTCTTGCAGTATTCTTCTGTAAGTCCTTTTTATTCCTCTGAGGCCTGTAATAATGCCTCTGCCTTCATTTCTAATTTTACTTTTTTGCATGTTCCCTCTTTTTTCCTTAGTTTAACTAAAGGTTTGTTAAGTATGTTGATCTTTTCAAAGTAGCAACTTTGGTTTCTTTCATTCTCTCTAGGGTTTTTGGCTTCTCTATTTCATTTGTCTGTACTCTAATATGTATTATTTTATTGTCCTCTGAACTGTGAGTTTAGTTTGCTCTTCATTTTCTATTTCCTTAAGTTGTAAAGTGAGGTTATTTGGTATCTTTCTTTTTTAATGTAGACATTTGCAGATAAAAATTTTCTTATGAACATTGTTTTGGATACATTCTGTATATTTTGTGATGTTGTGTTTCATTTGCATTCATTTCAAAGTATTTTCTAATTTCTGTTGTGATTTTTTCCCTTTAACCTATTGATTGTTTAGGAATGTTTGTTTAATTTCCAATATTTGTGAATTTTTCAGTTTTCCTTCTGGTGAATTTTAATTTGATTCTGTTATGAATGGAGAAGATGCTTTGTATAATTACATTCTTATTAAATTTGTTGACACTTGTTTTGTGGCCTAACATTTGGTCTATCCTGGCACATGTTCATGTGCCTATAGTTGAGAAGAATGTATTTTGCTGTTGTTGGGTGGAGTGTTCTCTTACATCTGGTTGACTTTTAGTGTTGTTGAAGTTCTCTATTACTTTATTGTTCCATTGTCTAGATGTTCTTCCTTTATTGAAAGAGGGCTATTGAAGTCTCTAAGTGTTACTGTAGAGCTATTTATTTCTCCCTTCAATTCTATCAATGTGTGATTCATATGTTTTTGGAACTCTGTTGTTTGGTGCATACATGTTCATAATTGTTATATCTTTGATGAATTAACCCTTTTAATCACTATATAATGACCTTTTTCTCTTATAACAGTTTTTTTTTTAAAGACTGCTTTATGTATCATCATAACTACCCAGCTGTCTTTTGGTTACTAATTGCATGGAATATCTTTTTCCATCCTTTCACTTTCAACCCGTACATGTACTTGGATGTAAAGTGAATTTCTTTCAGATGTTATATTGATGGTCCATGACTTAGGTTAGGTGTTTTAAATGCGTTTTCAACTTATAATGAGCTTATTGGGACATAATCCATTATAAGTTGAGGAGAATCCGTATTGTTGAATCATGTCTTTTCTTCCATTTTCCACTCTCTGTTTTTCATTTGGTACATTTATTTCCATTTCCATTTAAAGTGATTAGTGATAGGTGAGGAATTCTGCCATTTTGCTATTTGTTTGTTGTGTGTTTTACCTTCCCTTCCCTTAGTTCCTCCAATACTGTGTTTAGTGTTTAAATTTTTTTGTATCTTTTTATTTCTTACTCATTTCTTTTTCTGTATATATTTGTTATTTTGTTAGTGACTACTATATGGGGATGACAGTTAACATTTTGAATTTAAGACAGTCTAGTTTGAATTGAAAGTAACTTATTTTCAATAGTGTATAAAACCACTCTTCTATGTAACTCTGTTCTTCCTTTTTATGTTATCATTTTCACAGATTACCACTTTACCCGTTGTGTGCCCATTAATCTAGATTTATAATTGTTTTTATGAATTTGTCTTTAAATCCCAGAGGAAATAAAAAAAAGTTAAAAACCAAAAATACAACATTACTGCTTTCATTACTGTCTGGTATCCTCTCATTGTAGCCTTTAGGACTCCCTTTAACCTTTCTTGTAGGGTGAGTCTGCTAGTGACAAACATTTCAGTTTTTGTTTATCTGGAAATGTCTTAATTTCTCTTTCATTTTAAAAGAGTAGTTTTGCCAGATATGGAATTCTTGGTTGACCTTTTGTTTTTTGGTTCAGCACTTATATCATCTCACTTGCATTAGGCCTCCATGGTTTCTGACGAGAAATTAGCTGTTAATCTGTTAAGTATCTCTTTTTTTTTTTTTTTTGAGACAGAGTCTCACTCTTTTGCCTGGGCTAGAGTGAATGCCGTGGCGTCAGCCTAGCTCACAGCAACCTCAAACTCCTGGGCTCAAGCGATCCTCCTGCCTCAGCCTCCCGAGTAGCTGGAATTACAGGCATGCGCCACCGTGCCTGGCTAATTTCTCTATGTATTTTTAGTTGTCCAATTAATTTCTTTCTATTTTTAGTAGAGATGGGGTCTCACTCTTGCTCAGGCTGGTTTCGAACTCCTGAGCTCAAACAATCTGCCTGCCTCGGCCTCCCAGAGAGCTAGGATTACAGGCGTGAGCCACCGCGCCCGGCCTTAAGTATCTCTTGTATGTGATGAGTTACTTCTCTCTTGCTGCTTTCAAGATTTTCTTTGTTTTCTCTTTTGACAGTTTGATTATAATGTGTTTAAGTTTATACTAACTGGTGATCTTTGAGCTTCCTGGATGTGTAGATTTGTGTCTTTTATCAAATTTGAGAAGGTTTTGGCCATTATTTCTTTACATTTTTTTTATCTCTTTTTCTTTTGTCCTTCTGAGATTTCCATAATACATATGTTGGTCCTTTTGATGGTCTCCCACTTTAGGCACTGCTTATTGTTCTTCATTTTTCTTTTTGCTCCTCAGACTCACTAATTTCAGTTGTCCTGTATTCAAGTTTATTGGTTCTTTCTTTTGGAGGCTCAGATCTTCTGTTGAGCCTATCTACAGGTGGTCCCTGACTCATGATGGTTTGACTTATGACTTTTTCACTTTATAATGGCGCAAAAGTGGAATGTATTCAGTAGAAACTTTACTTTGAGTACCCATGCAACCATCCTGTTTTTCACTTTCAGTACAGTATTCAATAAATTACATGAGATATTATAAAATAGGCTTTGTGTTAGATAATTTTACCCAGCTACAGGCTAATGTAACTATTCTGAGCCCATTTAAGGTGGGCTAGGCTAAGCTATGATGATCAGTTGGTTAGGCGTATTAAACGCGTTTTTGACTTAACAGTATTTTCAACTTACAATAGGTTTATTGAGATATAACCCCATTGTAAATTGAGGAGCACCTGTGGTGAATTTTTCATTTTTAGCTGTCGTGCTTTTCACCTCCAAAATTTCTGTTTGGTTCTTTTTTTTTAAATTCACAATTTCTGTCTCTTTATTTATATTCTCTGTTCATACATTATTTTCCTAATTTTTTTTTATTTCTCTGTTCATGGTTTTCTTTAGCTCTTTGATGTACTTAAGGCAGCTTATTTAGTATCTTGCTTAGTAAGCATAATGCCTGAGTTTTCCTTTTCTGTGTAAGTGTTATAAAGTTTTTGTTTAAAACTGTGATTTGAGTAGTATAACGTCGTAACTGTGGAAATTAGATTTTCCCCCCCTCACCAGGATTTGCTGTTATTGATTATTGAGAGTTGTAGTTTTCCATTTGTTTACTTACTGCAGTAGGTGGAATTGCATATGTCAGTTCCTAACCCCCAGTACCTGTAAATGGAACCTTATTTGAAAATAGGTTCTTTGCAGATACAGTCAAGTTAAGATGAATTCATGCTGGATTAGTGTTGGCTTTAATCCAATGACTGGTATCCTTAAAAGAAAAGGGAAATTTGGATGCATACTCGGAAAACTAGAGACTGGAGAAGACAATTTGAAGACAGACATGAGAAGAGAATGCCATGTATTGACATCTTCTTAGCTGTACCCACAGAAAGTGTAAACTTTCTGTAACATGGTGTGGCAGCTGGTGGTGGGAGATGATAATAGCCCAGATGCCACAGACATTCCCTGTTCTTAACAAGTCATAGTAGATTTTCTTGCGTAAATGGTTTTCCATTTGCCTTATGCCCTTAGGTCAATTTCTAGAGCCTTCATAGATTTCACCAGTTGTTTCACTGGTTGGTTTGCTTGGGAGAGGTTTCTAAGCTCCTCATATAGTCAGTCATTCTAGAAATCCTGCCCGGTGCTTGGTTTTTAAATGTTTATTTTTATTCTTACAAGAGGAAGTGCTTACAAAATTATGTTAAACGTGAAAGACTTTCTAGTTTTACCCTGATTAAGTATTGTAGGAATTTTCTGTTATTTTAATTTTGGATTTTATCTATAAGTACACCAAATGTTAGCTTATCATAGTTTTCTAACATAGAAATCAACATGTGAAATAGAATTCTTTGTGAATTAATTTATGTCAATTCAGAGGAATCATTGTATATTTTCTTTGATGTGAATGGACTGGAGTCAGGAAATGCAAAGTGAGATTATCTTCATTAATTTTTATTTTATCATTTTCAGTTTGAAAAATTGTTTAAAATTGTGTTGATTCTTAATTTTTGTCCTATCCTTTTTCATGCAGATTTGAAACCAAAATAGATTCATTTCATATTACTGGCTTACCAGATAATTCAAAAAAACCCCATCTCCTTTCTTCATTGGATGATGCTATTTCACTCTTCCAAATTACATTTGAGATAAATCCATTAGATGAAACTGCCGATCAAAGGTGTATCATAGAAGCTGAACCTTTAGAAATGATATATGATGCAGTAAGCATTTTTATATTACCAAGTTTTAATATAATTCAGTTTGCTTTGAGTTTGTGCCTCATGTCAATGATGTTTATTTCAACAGAGGACAGTGAATAGTATAATAGAATTCTTCAGACCTCCAAAAGATGTACATCTAGCACAACTCACTTCAGTGACTTTGACAAAACTTGAGGAATTTCGTGATAAGACAGCCACAGGTAAATGTCAATATTAATGTCGGCAAATTAAACACTATACCCTATATTAAACTTTTATTTGTGGTAAAATGTACTTTAAATTTATTATATTTCTAGACTGGTTACATTTTAGCAGAAACTAATTTGGTGCTTTTATGTTTAAAGGACGATATAATAATAATCTTTATTATGATTAATACTTCATACCTAGTAACCACATTTAAGTTAATTGTAAAATTTTGCTTAGGATTTTTGGACCTCTATTTATGACAGGTACTGACCTCTCATTTTCCTTTCTTGTAATGAGTTCCAAATTTAATATATTGGCCTCAGAAAAGAAAAGTTCCATTCTTTTTATTCCTTAGGAGAGTTTGTGTAAAGTCAGGTGTTATTTCTTCCTTAAATATTTGGCAGAGCTTAACAGTAAAACCATTTGTGCTTGGAGATTTCTTTATAGGAATGTTTAAGATTATAGATTCGGTTTTTTAAATAGTTGACTGTAGAGATGAGATGACCTGTATGATTGTAATGCTTTGTAATTTGTTGAGACTTGTTTTCTAGCTCAATGTATGGTATTTTAAAAAAACATACCACATATGCTGAAAAGCCTTTTTCATGTTTATGCATATTTATTAGGTCACATTTGTTAATCATGTACTTCAAATCTTTTGTATCTTACCGGATTTTTTCCCTCCTTTGTCATCTTGTTCCAACAGTTATTTAGAGAAACACTTGAAAAATGCCTCATTATAAATGTAGATTTTTAAAATTTATTCTAGATCTGTCAGTTTGCTTGAAAAAATAAATTTTAAGGGTGTCATTAGGTACATGCAAGAATAAGTTTTTTTCCTGCTAATACCAAATCTTTTATCTGTATAAAGTTTACTACTTGTGTTTTAAGTAATGGCTTAATATTTTTTATAATTTTTTGTAATCTTTTTTTTTTTTTGGTCTGATATCAGTATAGATATACAAGGGTTCTTCTGGTTAGAATTTGCCTGGTATATTTTTTTTTCCATTTTTTTTTACCATGTATATTTTCAGATGTGTCATGTCAATAACCTAAAGTAGGACTTTTTAAAATCTAGATTTACAGTCTTTGTTTTTTATTTGTATCTACTACTTACATTTAATTAATTTAGGCTTATGTCTAACATCTTATTTTGTGCTTTTTAATTTGGCTTTCCTGTTTTATTTTTCTTACCTTCCTTTGGATAAATTTTAGAATTCCTTCCTTTCCCTTCTCATATACTCTACCATTTGGAAGTTAAACATTCTCTTTCTCCTTTTACTTTAGAAATTACAACATACATTTTTGTCAAAATATAAATTTAATAAAAATTTTTACATTGTCCTAGTCATTGTATGGACTATAGTACACTTGAACTTTATTTACCATTCCCCGACTTACATGCTATTGTTAATTTTTTGTTTTACTTTTTAAAAAAAACTTTATTGTACAGTTTTTGTATAGTTAATGTTAGTTTAGAATTATCTACATATTTACTACCTTCTTTGCTCTTCATTTCTATTGCACCGCACACCTTTTGACTGATTTTATTTTCCTTTGTTGGAAGTTCATTTGTAAATTTTTTCTTGTGAGAGTCTGTTGATGGCAAACTTTTTGTTTTGTTTTGGTCTGAAAAATTTTTTCCCTCAGTTTTGAAAGATATTTTTATTGTATATAGAGTTAAAGGTTGACATTTATTTTCACCTCAACACTATGAAGACACCATTCTACTGTTTATTGGCTCCCATTACTGAAGTTGAGAATTCAGGTATCTGCTGCTTCTTTGTAGATTCTCTGTCCTTTATCTTTTACATTTAAGATTCTTTTGTATTTTGTTATTTTGGTATGATTTATTCAGCTGTAGATTTGCTTTAAATATCCTGTTTGGGATTCATTGGGTTTCCTGAATCTGAGTACTTGTATCTTTAATGAATTCTGGAAATCTCTCCGGAAAATTCTTAACCACTAACTCTTCAGATATTTTTTTTCTCTTCTCTTCTTCTGGAACTCTAGCTATATGTATTTTAGCCTTTTTTACTCTTATCTTCTATTCTCCTTAACTTTTATATCCCACTTTCTTTCCATGGTTTTTTCTCTGTGTTACCTGTTGGGGATAATTATTTCTAATTTATTTTCTGCTGTACTGAGTTCTTCTTCAACCATGTCCAATATGCTATTAAATCTATTAACTTTAATTTCAGTGATTATATTTTTCACTTTAATAATTTATTTTTATTATATGTAAAATCAGCTTTGTCATTCTTTTTTAGTTTTGTGTTTCCTATGGAAATCTTTAAACTTGTCTTCTATTTCTTCAAACATCATTAGTGTTTTATATTCTGTCTCACCAGATAATTCTCTCTCTCTATTCAGATAGTCCATTATGTGAAGACTTTTGTGATTCTCTTTCTCCTACCTTCTCCTTTTTTTCCTGCTGGTTCTTATTCATGGTAACTCCTATCTCTTCATGCTTAGTAATTTTTAATTGCAAGATGCCCATTTTCCTTGGAAAATTATTTGGAAGAATTCTCTGAAGCCTCACCTAAATGGGCTTTTATTCAAGGAAGAATTACATTTCTTCTGCCGGGTATCCTGGTTATGTTGTGGCACCACTTTAAATTCATTGCTTGAGGTATTCTGAACTAGAAAGTTAAAATTTACCTATTTGGGTAGAGACTCATATATCAGTTATATATCTCTATTCATTTTAGAGTCTTTTTTTCATTTCCTCCTTTCTTGTATTCTTTTTGTTGTTGTTGCATTAGCCTCTATTCTCTTCTTCCTTTATATCCTGGTTTCTTTCTTGTATTATAGGTTGATTATCCCTTATCTGAAATGCTTAGTATCAGAAGTGTTTTGGATTTCATGGTTTTTCAGATTTTGGAATATTTGCATTATACTTACTTGTTGAGCATCCCTAATCTGGAAATTCAAAATTTGAAATGCTCTAGTGAGCATTCCTTTGAGCATGACCTTTGAGCATCATGTTCGTATGGTACTCAAAAAGTTTTGGATTCTGGAGCATTTTGGATTTCAGATTTTCAGATTAGGGATGTTAAACCTGCTATTTTCTTAAACCTTTCTAGGATCTCAAGGTCTTTCACACCTTTTTACTTTTTGTCAAGTGAGGGATCAGCTCATAGAACATGCATACGTAGTTATCTTTTGTCTCTGGCAGGAAGACAGATATCATTCTTCCTTTGGAGTACAAGGTTTTTTAGTAGGATTATAGTGATTCATTTTCTTTCAGTGATTTCATTTATTTACTCATTCCAATATTTATCAAGAGCTTAATCCATATGTCAATGCTATGCTAGGTTTTAGGGAACATAGCAGTGCTCAAAATAGATGTAATTCTTGTGTGTTGATGGATCTTACAATTTTGTGGATAGGACAGATGTAAAACTAAGAGTAATCTGCTGAATAATTGTGAGCAATGTTGTGTGAGTCCAATCAGGAGAGAGAAACCACATAGTAATTTGAATAATTTGAATTATTAACTGTAACGAAGATTTGTTACTCCAAATAGTAACTTTAAAGAATATAAAGAGAGTAGTTATAAGGAGTATAGGACTGAGATAGCATTCCCTAGGAAGAGGTCGCTCTCTTCCCTGACGATTGAAATCCCGACCTTGTTGGAGAAGGAACCCTTATAACTCATTGAAAGGTAGAAAAGTTGTTGTAGTGCCATGCTGGCAGAACTTGCTGAAAATCTGCTCTCTGAAACTCTGGAGATCCATCCTCTGAGGAGATAGGGAGTGATGGTCATGGGACAGTGTCTCACTGCACTCATTGCTATGAAACCACCCGGGAAGGATTCTAGGGGCAGCTACTGGCTGTTGGGTGCTGCTGGCCCTTGTGTACCTCATGTTTGAGTAAGCCACACTGTTGCAGGATATTGCTGAGTGAGCACAATGCAACCAGGAAGCAAAACCCTTTCCTCTTGCAGTGTATCTCCTGTATTCTTTATTTACTTTGGTACTATTTGGCAAAGGAAAAGCATTTAAAGGGCTTGGTTCTACTTTCACAGAGCAGGCAAATAGATGAATTTGGAGCTGAATAAGGAAACAAATCTGTAACAGGCCCAAATCTTGTGAAGGAAATGAGAATGATGGTGTCAGAGAAGATCTCTTTGAAAAATTGACATTAAGACCAGATGTATGTGTAGGATCTACCCTGCTGATGAGTTTAAGGACCGGCCTTCAAGGCAGTGGTCAAGAGTTTAAGGAAGGGCCTTCAAGGCAGTAGTGAATTATGAAGGGCCTAACTTGGCAAGGAATTTGAGGAATTTGGAAGTTGCAAATAACTGAATTGGTTCTAATGTAGTGAATGAGGGGGAGAGTGGAATGATGTTAAAGAGGCATGGTCTTGATTATGCAAAACTATGAAAATCATATTAAGCAGTTAGGATTTTGTTCTAAGTGCAATGGGAAATGGAGGAGAGGCACAGTATACTTAAATTAAAAATAAAATACTCATTTCCCTCTCCATTAAAAACAACCTAGAGAAATAACTGTGTCTTGGTATCAAGAAAGGCTTCCTTGAAAGTAAAGCTTAAGGATGTCCTTCTAGGGAGTACAGGACTTAGATTTGTAGAGGCAGGAATACATGAAATAGATCATTTTGGTTGCAGAATCCTTAGAGCAGAGATGGAAACTAGGGAAATGCTCAACAGACTGTGGAGAATCTTGAGTACCAGATTGTCCCTTCTGAGTGCTTTTTGTGACTCACTCAGTTAACATACTTTAGTAAAAGGGTGCCATCTATGTTTGAATCCAAATAATTTGGGGAAAAAAGTGAATAACTGTTTTGAGTCAGTTTTGCTCTTAAGTTCTGAGCTTATTAGATGATCTTCAGAATTTTATGATGATTTGTCAATCTGTGTTCATCCTTCTATCCCATCCCACTTCCCATCCTCATTTTAAGAGATTTCACTCGAATCTGCTTCTGCTGCTTTTCTTTTTTTTTTTTTTTGAAACAGAGTCTCACTCTGTTGCCTGGAGTAGAGTGCCGTGGCGTCAGCCTAGCTCACAACAACCTCAAACTCCTGGGCTCGAGCAATCCTACTGCCTCAGCCTCCCGAGTAGCTGGGACTACCTACAGACATGTGCCACCATGCCCGGCTAATTTTTTTTTTCTATATAGATTTTTAGTTGTCCAAATAATTTCTTTCTATTTTTAGTAGAGACGGGGTCTCGCTCTTGCTCAGGCTGGTCTTGAACTCCTGAGCTCAAACAATCCGCCTGCCTCGGCCTCCCAGAGTGCTAGGATTACAGGCGTGAGCCACCGTGCCTGGCCGCGAATCTGCTTCTTATAGGCTATTGGAGATGCAGAGGTATTTTTCTCTCTCTCTCTACAAGAGTCTTGCTTGGGCTGCCTGGTCAAGGCCCTTGGAATCCCTTAAAGAAGACATAGTTTTGATATCAATTTCTCATATTTGAAGGAACAGCTGTCCCAGACTATCGTAGTCCATTTGTGGTGTTATAAATGAATATCTGAGGCTGGGTAATTTATAAAGAAAAAAGTTTTATTTGGCTCACAGGTCTGCAGGCTGTACAAGAAGCATGGCATGAGCATTTGTTTCTGGTGAGAGCTTCAGCCTTCTTCTACTCTGAAGGGGAACCAGTATGTGCAGAGATCACATGGCAAGAAAGAGGAGGGAGGTGCTGGGCTCTTTTAAACAACCAGCTGTCCTGGACACTAATAGTGGGAGAACTCACTTATTGAGAGGATGGCACCAAGCCATTCCCATTAGGCTCCACCTCTAATATTGGGTATCATATTGCAACATAATATTTGGAGAGACTAGATATCCAAACTATAGCACAAACTTAGGCTATTTATTTTCTATTATATAAATATATATTTAAAACAAGATACTTTTCTATTATTATATAAACATATTTAAAACAGAAGATATTTTCATTATTTTTAATTTTTTTTTTCCTTGTATATCAAGGCAGTCATCTGTTGGCACTTGATACTTGCTGAGTATCTGCTTTTAAACTTTACTTTTCTCTGTCATTGTATATACATTTTATTTAAAATTTTAATTATAACTACCTTTAAAATTGTTGACTTATTCTTCAGTTCGAACATGTATTTTTTAATAATAAATTCTTAACTTTAAAGGTTGAATTAAAATACACTGATCTTCCTACATTTAAGCTTTCTTAGTTTAATCCTTCATAATAGTGTATTAATATGGAATCACAAAACGTGAAATGATGTCCTTTGGGGATTTGGCTTTTGGGGAATAAGGGACTACATAGTGATGAAATATGGGTCAGATCAGAATAGTTCCAAACAGAAATACCATGAACTGTTGAAATGTCATTGAACTTTCTTGATCAATTCCGTTATAAAATTATAGGACTTTTCTGGCAAAGGGTTTTTGGTTTAATCACTTCCCTTCTTGAAATTCAGTTCTTTTGTGATCTTTCCTAAGACCTATTCTGGACAAAATGTTTAGTTGAACCGCACATACTCTTC